CCAAAATTCCCAAAATTTCACCCCAAATTCCCAATTTCCCCCCAAAACCCCTTAAAAAAACCACACAACTCCATATAAGGCAACGTGGGCGTGGTTTATTGGCGCGGTGGGCGGAGCCTGATGGTGATTGGTCCGTAGGGGCGGGGCTGCTCCAGCTTCAGCCAACGGGCGGCGCAGAGCTCTGCGGGGGCGGGGCTTGAGCCAAATATGGGCAAAGGGGCGGGGCTTAAAGGGGCAGCAAAAAGGGGCGGAGCTTAAAGGAGAAGTAAAGTGGGCGGGGCTTAAGTCAGAAGGAATTTGGGGCGGGGCTTAACATGGTGGGACTTGAAGGGGAGGGGCTTAAAGTGGGCGGAGCTTAAAGGGGAGGAGCTGAAGAGTGTGGGATTTAAATGAGCGGTGAAAGTGGGCGGGACTTCCGTGGGTGGAGCTAAAAGGGGAGGGGTTAAAAGTGGGTGGGGCTTAAATGAGGGATTGGGGCAGCTTGAAGTGGGCGGGGCTTAAAGGGGAGGGGCTAAAAGTTGGGGAGGTTTAATGGACGGACTAAAAGTGGGCGTGGTTTATGGGTAGGGGCGTGGTTTGTGGTTGAAAGGGGCGTGGCCAAGGCTCACCCAGGCAGAGCGCAAAGGCCCGGGCCACGCGGGGGCGTGGCCAATCCGGGCCCAAGATGGCGCCAAGCTCCGCCCCCTCCGGGGCCTGGGCGTGGTCCAGGATCAGCCTGGGGGGAGGGGCAAGGATGGGAATAATTAACGGGGAATTAGCAAAAAAATTAATTTAAAAATTCCCCAAAATTTCCACAAAAAATTCCCCAAAATTCCCCAAAATCCCCCAAAATTCCGGAATTTTCCGGCCCCACCTCCTGAGGTCGATCGCCGGCACCTCCGGAAGCTCCGGGAGAACCTCGGGGGGCGGGGCCGGAAGTGGCGGGACGCTGGTGGGAGGAGCCAGAAGGTTAAGCCACGCCCCCTCCTCTAAACCCCACCCACATCCACTTCCGGTCCATTTTTGGGTCACTATCCCTTTAAATGACATCACTTCCGGGTTTAGCTCCGCCCACTCCCCCCATTACTTCCGGGTTTTTGTTTCTTAAACTCAATTTTCACTTCCTGGTTTTAAAACCCACTTCCGGTTTTGACCCCGCCCACTTCCGGCCGCCATTTTGTCACCGATTTTCAAATATTTTCTTTCAAATATCACCAAAAATCGCCCAAATTTTCCCAAAATTTGGTAAATTTCGCCTTTTCTCTGAAATTTTCCTCCACATTTCGTCCCCATTGGGAATTTTTTGGTGGAAATTTGGGGCAAAATTTGGGATTTTGGGATTTCTAAGGGGTTAAAATTTGGAATTTTTGGGGGAAAATTTGGGGAAATTTTCAATTTTGGGGAATTTTGGGATTTGGGATGGAAAATTTTGGATGAAAGGGGAAGAAATTGGGGATTTTGGGGGAAATTTGGGATTTTTTAGGAGAATTTGGGAAATTTGGGGCAAAATTTGGGATTTTGGGGGAGAATTTGGGGGAAAATTTGGGAATTTTGGGGATATTTGGGGCACAAATATTTGGGATTTTGGGGTTTTCAAAGGTTAAAATCGGGAATTTTTGGGGAAATTTTGGAGCAAAAATTGGGGATTTTGGGGATTTTTAGGGTTAAAATTGGGAATTTTTGGGGGGAATTTGGGGCAAAAAATTGGGATTTTTTGAGGGGCAGTTAAAATTGGGAATTTTTGGGGGGAATTTGGGAAATTTGGGGCAAAAAATTGGGATTTTTTTGAGGGGCAAATTTGGGATATTTGGGGAAAATTTGGGGAATTTTTCAATTTTTGGGGCCGGATTTGGGATGGAAAATTTTGGGTGGAAAGGGAAGAAATTGGGGATTTTGGGGAGAAAATTGGGATTTTCGGGGAAATTTTGGGGGAAATTTGGGAATTTTGGAGCAAACAATTGGGAAATTTGGGGCAAAAATTTGGGATTTTCAGGGTTTTAAAGGGTTAAAATTGGGATTTTTTGGGGAAAAAATTAGAATTTTGGGGAATTTAAGGGTTAAAATTGGGATTTTTTTTTTTGGGAGGAATTTGGGGAAATTTCCAGTTTTTGGGGGAATTTTTGGAATTTGGGATGGAAAATTTTGGGTGAAATGGGAAGAAATTGGGGATTTTCGGGGAAATTTGGGATTTGTGAGGGCAAATTTGGGTCATAAATTGGGAATTTTGGGGAGATTTGGG